AAAACAGCTCGGAAAGTCCTAAAACGCGATAAAAGCCACTCGCGACTTTAAAACGAAATCCAACCCGAAGATACAACGACGTTTTGGCGATTTACTCGCAGAAAGAAGATAAATGTCAAACTTGAAGATAAATATCAAGTTTGAGGATAAATAGAAGATTTCCGCGGGAAAAAAGGAAAGATCGAGATAAATGAAAGATTCCCGATAAACTCGAATCTGGGCGAAATGGAAAGACTAAACCGCCTAAGAAGGGAGTATAAAAGCAAGAGGCATAGGGCAGAAGAAAAGGACGAAATCCAGAGCTCTCATCTGAGACTTTTTACAACTTTTCTAGACTTAGAATTTTCCGCACTTAGAAACTTAGGTTTTTTTCTCGACAAGTTCGGTTTCTATGACTGGCGCTCAATCACTAGACGAACTCGCCCAGGCAGTTCGATCTCTTGTCCAGCTCAATCAACTGAACTACGTTCGACTTGATCCTCGAAAGGGGTTCGTAGGTAGCCTTTCATAAGGTTCAGTCCGAAATCAATCAAATCCTTTTTCTTATCTTTTTTTTCGTCTTTTGTTATCGAGCTGCGAATCGATTAGGTTTAAGGTTTTTATGTTGATAACTCGCTGACGGCCCTGCGTCCAAAGCCTTTGTAAACCCTTGTAATGATCGCAACGCTCTTACGCGAAATCGAAATAAGATCTACCTTTTCTTTAAATTCGTTTTATTACGTTTTTCATATTTTTCTGCATTTATTTGGTTACTTGTCGTTGGCTTTCACAGAGATCCGGTTCCTCTGGAAAATTAGGGTTTTCCTAAGTTTCCTTATTTAACGGAAATCGACATGTGTGAATTTCGGTTCCCACAACCTTCCAGATAGCTTCTTACAAAGGTTTCTCAAAATCAGATACTACCCTAATGGAGATTTCCTCTCAGCCTCAGTGGGAGCACATCCTTCCGACGCTTGGTGTAGCCTCCTTCATGGGCGAGAATTGTTGAAAAAAGGCCGGCAAAAACGCATTGGTAATGGAGAAAACATAAGTGTGTGGTCAGAGCATTGGTTGAAAGATCCAGAGGTGGGTTTGAGGGCCCCTTGGATCATTCATAACAACTTTGAAGTTAATCAGAAGGTCTCCTCTCTAATAGACCATCAGTCACGAAGATGGAACCCTCAGGCCCTGCATCTGCATTTTTCTCCAGGAGATGTTGACATTCTCCTTCGGAATCAACCGGCTGTTCATAGAGATGACTTCCATGTTTGGACATTAAATAAGTCAGGAAGATTCTCTGTGAAATCAGCTTATTGGTTACCGTGTGATACTAAGACGAGAAAGGATTTCCCTGAGGTTTTGGCGCTCCCCTCCACAAACCCTCTTAAACAACAGGTTTGGAGCACGATCACTGCCCCAAAGATCAAAATTTTCCTTTGAGAACTCCTAAGCGAGGCAGTGCCAGTAGCGCATCTCATCAGAGCCAGAGGTAAGAAGATAGATGAAAGATGCCAACGCTGGAGTAACGAAGGTAAGTTGATTAATCATATGGTGTTCAACTGCTCCATTGCGCGCCAGGTTTGGGAAGAATCTGGCATCCCCCACCCTCAATTTGGTTTTCATGAGACGTCAATAATTGAAAATTTATCGTACCTCTTGAGTATAAACAAGATCAGATTGGGAGAGCAAGAGAACAAAAGAGCTTGGCCGTGGGTCATTTGGAACTTATGGAAGAGTAGGAATGATTTGCTATTTAAAGGAATCACTTGGTCAGCCTTAGAAATTGCAAGAAAGGCTAATAATGACTCTGAAGAATGGTTTCTAGCTCAAACGGTGGAGGAGGAGATGTCCCAGGAAATGGAGAGACGGGACACTACCGCCCAAAACAAAAGGTTGGAACATGTGCAATATTGCGTGGAACTGGAACAAAAACAATGGTGATCTGGGTGTGGCGTGGGTCGTAAGAAGCTACAGAGGAGTGGTCATGTTGCATAGTAGAAGATCCTTTGCAGGGGTACCTAATAGAGAAGAAGCAAAGCTGCAATCCATTATGTGGGCTGTCGAGAGTATGATCAGTCTTCGCCTCAATATGATTGTTTTTGCGGGATCTTTCTCGGAAGAATTTGGAGCGGTAACTTCACCACAGGTGTGGCCTTCTTTCGCTTTTCAGGGGCACGAGATTTCTCACTTCCTGAAAGAGATGAAGGATTTTCAACTATTGGTCGTTCCTAGAGAGGCGAATAGAGGAGCATCCTTCATTACTCAAAGTGTTGTAAGAGAGGAAAGGCATCATTCTTATGTTGCATCGGGTCCCCCATCCTGGCTTTTCGAATTCTTCGTTAATGAGAGTTGTCTCCTGTGAGTGAGGCTGAGATAGGTCTGGATATTGTGTTTTTTTCGTGAGTGGTTTGGAGAAGCAAGTTGTGGCCAGCAGTTACAATTTCCTTTGGAGTTGAGAGAAGTTTTTCTTTCCTCTCTTGGTTGTAATATATAACTCAGTAATTTCCATCGTAATGAAATCAGTGTTACGCAAACGACCTCTCTCTCTTTTCTTTCATTCAATTTTTAATATTATTTAAAAATGTTTATCATGCCAACCACAAACATTTTTTTCAAAAATATTAGCTGATTATTACTACTAATAAGAAAGACCCACGCGTTTACACTCTACTGGACAATCAGTCCATGGATTCGTAGTCAAAGTACTGTATAGTTATCTATTATTAATGAATGATTATGATAATCAAGCCGACTTTAAGAGCGTTCTGGCGACATGGATCTGAAAACAAAACGAACAGATGAATCGACCTTTTCGTTGATCCTTGGTTATAACAAGTACTAGATGATAACCCGCGCGCATGCGCGGGGTGAAATTTTTAGACTAATATTTATTCATTAAATGGTTTTTAACATTTTGCAATACTAAAGTATTTATCGATTATAAAATGATGAATACAAATGTTGGTATCTTAAATCTTCATAGGTCTGGACGTTTGAGATTTCGTCGGTTTTAGTTTGATTGACACGTATGTTCAGATTTTGGTATTATTATCATAACTCATATTTGAATTTTACTAATTATCGGATTGGATACGATTTGATCTTCTCAATTCAGTTTGGATTGGATTGTAACCAATATCTGAAATCATCCCAAAAAATATTTGTTAAACATTAAAAGTTGACAAAAAAATCAAAATATTTAAACTATTAATAAATATAATTTAAAATTTGTTAAATTATCTAAACAAACTAAAAGATATTAAAAAAGAAGAAAATAAAACAAACTACAAAAATCTTTCGAATACTACAATTTGTATCTACTAACCTCAAACCTTTTCACTGAAATTTTTAAATTAACATATTTATAGTATGAATATCTACTAATGATACTTCATATTCGTACAATTTATGATAATTTGTATCTTCTTTGGAAAAAAACAAATTTAAACCATTGATCATAAAATTTTCAATGTGAGATTTTACTATTTTTAGTTATTTATGGTCATTTTAAAAAATTAAAAATATAACCTATAAGAAAAAATTTAATTTTTTTATTATATATTTAAATGTGATTGTTTAATTTATTTTAATAATTTAAAATTAAACAACAAAGAGAGAGGATACAAAAATATGTATTATTTATAATCATTAATTACATATATATGTTAATCATATTAGGTAATTCCGTAGCTTTTATTTAAGGAAATAAAATATATTGTTTTATACCTAGAAGAGTTGGTCCCTTAAAAATGTCTATATATTATAGTTCTAAATGCAAGAAATTAAATGTTACATTATTTCATTCCTAGCAAAGTTGGTCCATTAAAAAATTAAAGCTGAGAAGCTCTGTGAGCTTGACACGTAAGCATGCTCTCGAAGGTTGCGCATTTATGAATGTTTCAGGATTAATATATAAGGGATTGAAAACTTTTTAATTCTTTCTAACTTCCAATATATTATACCTAATTTATGAATGCAGATTCTGTAGAGGACAACGACCAGAATCGAAATTTAAGAGATTATAAATAGTTTTAATTTTTTAAAAATAATTTTGGAGTTAAGTGTTGTATATATCAATTTTAAAAACTTGAAAACCAAAATACATGTTTCATTACCCTTGGGTAGGGCAGAAATTTTTATCCGGGATCCGGATTGATCCGAGATTCACTCTGAATCCGCTCCAAAATTAGGATATTCGGAGGTACCCAGATCCAAATTTGGATAATAAAATCTCGGATCCGTACAAACCGAATTTGGATATCTTAATTTTTAGGTCGGGTATCCTGATTCGGATCCGTATTTTAAAAAATATATTATTTTTTATTTTATTATTAATTATATCTGATATATTAATATTTATACATAAAATAAGTTTAATAATATTCTACTTTTATATTAATAATATATATGTAATATATATATATATATATATATATATATATTCATAAATTATGCATAAATATTTAGTTTATGTATTATTTTTAGAATTATTTTAATTTTTTAATTATTTTTACCGATCCGAATCCGGATACTTGCGGATATCACAATATTTAAACGGATATCCAAATCCCGGATATCCAAAAGACACGAATCCGAAACCAGATACTAAAATCACGGATCCGATGAATCCGGATACGGATCCAGCTACTTCAAATTTTCCAGATATCCGGATCCGTCACACCCCTACTTTTAGCCATGACCGATCTTGCCACCAAGAATGTAAAATAACGTTTCTCCATCCCGGTAGTATAAAGGAATGCAATTAATATCACTTCAATTATTCACAATATTATAACAATACACGATTCAACCACTTGTAATTTTTTTGAATCAGTCTTTCTTAACTACAAAATATAATAATATACATCAATAAACAAGAAACCAAATAATAATGCCAATGATGACTTTTAGCTTGCTCGTACATTATTATAAGAACCGACAAAAAAACGAAGACCAAAAATAAGAGAAAAAATGAGTTCTTCTTCTTCCTCCTCCTCTTCATCTTCTTCGTCGTCTCGCAGTAAACTTCTTGATATGATCGGGCAAAAGGAAGTAACAAGAATCTTGATTCTGTTTCTTGGTTTGACTGCTTCATGTCTGGTTTTATATAAAACAGCTTATCCTCTGCAACGACTTAATGTCAATAATCTCAGCTCTCTTGTCACTTCTCCATCGCCACCATCACCATATTTAAACTCATCAGAGACTTCTCAAGAACCAGTAAGCTCTCATCAGTATTCGGACCTGAGTTCAACTCTATTTTTCCTATACTCTGTTTCATCTGACTTTTAGGGTTTGAATATCTAGTTTTGTGTCTATTCTTGTTGTTGTGTCAGGCTAAACGAAAGATCAGTTTCAAGGAGATTTTGGAGAATGCGTCGACGAAGAACAATACAGTGATTATAACAACACTGAATCAAGCTTGGGCAGAGCCAAACTCTTTGTTCGATCTCTTCTTAGAGAGCTTTCGTATTGGACAAGGAACACAACAACTGTTGAAACATGTGGTAGTCGTTTGCTTGGATGGCAAGGCGTTGGAACGATGCTCACAACTGCACCCTAACTGTTACCAAATTGAGACCTCAGAAACTGATTTCTCTGGCGAGAAAGTTTACAACACTCCTGATTATCTCAAGATGATGTGGCGCAGAATCGAGCTTCTTACACAAGTTCTTGAGATGGGTTTTAACTTCATATTTACGGTAATCTATGGTTTAAATCTTCTTAGAAAAACAATTAGGAGGTTCTAGCCTGGAATCCATATATTCCTGTAAGGCAAGGGTAAAACTATTTTAAATAATTTCTCTTCCAACAGAACTTGGTGAATTAACAATTTTAGTGTATGTAAACCTATAGGACGCAGACATAATGTGGCTACGAGATCCTTTTCCCCGCCTATACCCAGATGGAGACTTTCAAATGGCATGTGACAGATTCTTTGGAAACCCTTTTGATTCAGACAACTGGGTCAATGGAGGTTTCACATATGTGATATCAAACAATCGAAGCATTGAGTTCTACAAGTTCTGGCACCAATCTCGTCTGCACTATCCGGAGTTACATGACCAAGATGTGTTTAATAGAATCAAGCACTTGCCTTATATCACTGAGATTGGAATCCAAATGAGATTCTTTGATACAGTTTACTTTGGTGGGTTTTGTCAAACGAGTAGAGACATAAACTTGGTTTGCACGATGCATGCAAATTGTTGCATTGGATTAGAGAAGAAGCTTCATGATCTGAATCTTGTTCTTGATGATTGGAGAAAGTATCTATCTTTGTCGGAACCTGTGCAGAATACGACATGGAGTGTTCCTATGAAGTGCTTGGAGGATTGAGAACTTTGTTTTGTTCGGAGGATCGATGATTTTCCTTTTTGGATGAAAATTCTATATTGAATAAGTGTTTATTGTGGATTGATTACTCTCTAATCTAATCTAATCAAATTGTTTATTGTGGTGTAATTGATTACTTTGATCTAAATATCATTTCAGAAAGCCAAACTAATGGTACATAATCAAACAAAAAACATAGCGGAATGATAAACTTGAGCATATGGTGTAATTAAGTTTTTCCGCCATTGTGTTTTTACTCTTAGTATAGGTTAAAGTTGGCGGTTAAACTCTTTACATTGTTGAAATTCATCTAAGTGAGAAAATAAACCCTACCATTTTGTCGGTGTAGATACCATCTTCATCTCAAAGAACGAGAATTATATAATTTTTATGCACTCCATTACTCAAATCAGAGCTTCACATTTTACATGAAAGATGATAGACTATGTCAGATATTCATGACTCCATCATATGGATGCTTAAGCCTCCTTTGCTGCAGTATTAAACCAAAAAAAGATAGTAAATGAAAGTGAGAGAGCTGAGCTTGAGTCTCCACTCATTCGTGCCCGACGGGTGTACGTGCATGGAATCAGACCGCGCATTGCATAAATATGTGGTCATCGGTGTCCAATATCTTCTGCACACTGGCCGGCTCTTAAATAGGAACCAACTAGTTTTATTGTGCTGAATATAACAAGTTTGTAAACAAAATGAACAATAGCAAACATGGTAATTGTAGATCCTAAAATTCACATTAAGTATTTTGTAGTGATCGAGAGTGTAATCAGGGAAAGACAAATGATGTGGGCAACAATGCTCTTAAACACATCGATACAATCAGAATCCGGTTGACAAAAATGAACTTTATTGAATATGAGATTCGTTACAAGATGATGAACAAGATCGAAAACAACAATGAAAAGTAGAAGTAATAAGCGAACTAGAAATCTATGTAAGGAGGTCGATGTGGTTTAGTGAAATGCTCTAGGGTTTTATAGCATTCTTCTTTTCTAACTACCTCTGCGATCTCAGGAGTCTTATTTCGACCTCTTCGTGCTCGTTGACCACGATATGATGATAAGGCATGGGCCTGGACCTTATTACAGCCATTGGATTCAGCCCCCGTTCTCGCTTTTCTCCATGAGTGCTTTGTGGACTTGCTTGTCTAGTTTCTTACGAATCTCGTGTTAATGGGCCCGATTTTGGGTCCAACAGTAATTATTACCAGCAACGTTGAGGTGATACACTTTTTGAGTCTCGACTGCAAGAACAACTCACTCTTTCGTCTTTAAAATGCCAGTTGCTGCAACAATAATTATAAATCCTCTAGAATCAATGGAGACACAAGTGCACGAAAAAAAAATCCAATCAACACTTAAACAAGAAGTAACTAAGAAGAAAAAAATGTGTGCAATCAAAGAAGCCACGTAACTTTTGATTCAAAAGGCAATTGATCTCTACAAACACCATTACCCTTCGATCATCTGCTGAAACAGTAGTGCTTACGACCTTCTCTAAGCTTAGGTTTATGACATAGGATTCATCCATTGAGCTGTCCGAACGATTTTAGTGAGAGATGCACCACCTTTTTGTCCCGATATCATTATAGCTCTGAAGGTTGGTCCATGCATCACAGATCAATTCACTCATGACATGATCTTAAAAATCGTGGATCTAATGCATAAGTGAACTGGATCGTCTCAGGGATAAGGAGCTTGAATGTACGATTGACCATGGTAAAGCCGAAGTGTCTGATTCTTCGTTGAAGCATCTCGATCTCCCAGAAGTGTCATTAGATTCAGTTAATCAAGCGGATTAATCGCGGTGAAGGCGTTTGTTTCCTTTTGTTGATTTTTGTTATCTTTTGGTTTTCTGTCGAAATGCTTTAGAATGTATTTTATGGGTTAATGAACTTTTCGGGTAAGTACCTCTGTATTTTAGAAACGATATTTGATAATATTATCCCTATATTGGTTCAAAAATGGAGACAGAGTCTGATCAGGAATCTGTTTTGGGACCTTCATGAGGTCGAGGGATGTATTTTGTTCATTAACATAGATTTGGTTTTGTTTTGGCTGCGCTCGATGTTGAGTTGCCTACGTACCATGTCGGAGATCAAGCCTGTCGTAGTTCATTTTTTTCGTTCTTGGTCTAGTCCGATGCTCCCCTAGTTCGATGTTTAGTTGTAAGTTAAGTATTGAACTTTTCTATCTGTAGTACTTCTTGAGGTTGTAAGCGTTCCAAGGTCGCATTTCGGGTTTGCTAGTTCTACATTTTTCAAGGTCGTAAACCCCGACTCTTACTTCCTTTGTTATTTTGTAGGGTCCTTCCCATCTTGTTCCTAATTTTCCTGCCCCTTCTTCCTTTGTTCCATCGAACACTTTTCGTAGTACTAAGTCTCCACGCGGAAGGAACGATCTCTCACGTTAGAATCGTAGTAACGGGACGCCGCCTGTTGAGAGTTTTGTACTCGGGCTGACGCCCTTTCTCTTCGTTCTTCGATCATGTCGAGTTGGTCGATTAGTGACTCTTCGTTGAGCTCAATATTTTCTGGACATAACATGCGCCGTTGGCTCGGGACTTTGATCGGGATTACTGCTTCGACTCCGTAGGAGAGAGAGAGAAAGAGTTTCTTGTGTTACGTATGCGGTGTTGTTCGGCATGCTCAGAGGACGCCATGCAATTCTTCTCCCACTTTTCTTATTTAAGGTCGAACTCTTCTTGAGGTTATTCATTATGGTTTTGTTTGCAGCCTCTGTGTGACCATTACATTTTGGTTATCTCGTGATCGCCGTTTTTATCTTTATCTTCCACTTCTTGGCGAATTTCGTGAATGCTTTGGATATGAACTGGGAGCCATTTTAGGTGATAATTTCGTATGGTAATTCGCGTAAGCATATGATATTATTCCATATGAACTTGATCACTGTTTTGGTTGTGAAGTTTTGATATGCTTCGTCTTCGATCCATTTGGTGAAGTTGTCGGTTAGTACTAAGAGGAAACATAGTTTTTCTGGTCCGAAAGGCACCAACGGTCCGACTATGTCCATGGATCACTTCATGAAAAGGTATGGCGAAGATATAGACGAGAGCTTTTGATTGGGCTGGTGTATCATGGGGGTGTGTCGTTGGCACTTATCGCACTTTAGCGAATATTGCTCGCAATCGTCGGCGATCGTTGGCCAAAAGTATCCATATTTCTTGATTCTGTTTGCCAGGGATCTGCCTCTCGAGTTGCTACCGAACGATCCATCGTGGGTCTACTTTAAAATCGTGAAAGAATCTCTGGGAGATACACACATGAGGTAAGGTTCGCCTAGGCTTCGTTTATATAGCTTTTCTTCCATGATGCAATAGCGCGAGCTACGGGCCTTTATTTTCCTAGCCTCTCCTCTTTCGTCGGGGAGTTCGCCGTTCCTGATATAGTTGTAGATCGGAATTCTTCAATCGACTCTACCTTCGAATTCTTCATGGAAGGCTTTGTATGTCGTTGCGTTAGGCTGGTGATCCGCTTCTACGGGGGGGGGGGGGGGGGAAA